CATGTTAGCTTCTAGCTGGTGTTGGGCTCATGTTAGCTTCTAGCTGGTGTTGGGCTCATGTTGGGCTAAACTTTCGGCTCTTGTTGTTGTTTACTCGGCCTGTTGTTTTTCCTGCAGACGCTGTGTTCTGTGAGAGCAGTGAGCGGCGGGCCGCAGCCGACAAGCGGAACCGGGCCAAGCGGACCTTCGAGGAGATGCAGAGATATCTGCCAGGTAGGTGGAGTCCAGCTGTGAAACACATCAGCCATAACATTATGACCACAGCAACCATGGTTACCTGTCAGTGGGTGGGGCCGGTCAGGCAGAACAAAAGTTCAGTACCTGGACTGGAGCGACTGAAACCAGAACCAAACTGTACTGATTGGACAGCTGGGTCAGAACCAGAACCAGTCTGAAGTTCTGGACCAAGAGATCCAATCCACAGAGACGCCTCTTGTCCTTCAGAACCCAAAGGACCTTATTGTTGGATGGGACGGGTTTTTTCAGAGAATCAGGGTTCAGAGAGTTCCGGGTCACATGTTCTGGTCCACGTCTTCTGCAGCTGAACCAGGACCAGGGACCGGTTCTGGACCAGGGTGTAGAACCTCAGCACCTGAACCTGATTTTGTTTAAAAGCCAAATAAGATCAAAGGATTAGAAAATTGAAATAAAGATGAGTTTTTCTGCTCCTTCCTGTGTTCAGACTTCGTGGTGAAATGGATCGGGGACGAGTCCAGAACCGAAGGAGTCCGGGTTCTGTTCGACGCTCTGCAGCAGCCGCTCCTCAACAAGCAGGTGAGCCCAGCAGAACTCGGCTGAGGTCCAGCTCAGGAGGAGCCGAAGCAGCAGTTTCCTTCAGTGAGTCCTCAGAGATCCGTCCCACCAGAACCAGAACCTAAAGTTCTTCCTCCTCCTCAGATGACCTACGTCCTGCTGGACATCGCCGTGCTCGAGCTCTTCCCTGAACTCGGCAAGGTAAACAAGAGCTCCTGCTCGTTGTTGTTTTTGATTCTGTTGTTGTTTCTGTTGTTTTTGTTTCTGTTGTTGCTGCTTTTGTTTCTGTTTTTGTTGTTGTTGTTTTTGTTTCTGTTGTTTTTGATTCTGTTGTTTCTGTTGTTGCTGCTTTTGTTTCTGTTTTTGTTGCTTTTGTTTCTGTTGTTTTTGTTTCTGTTGTTTTTGTTTCTGTTTTTGTTGTTTTTGATTCTGTTGTTTTTGATTCTGTTTTTGTTGCTTTTGTTTCTGTTGTTTTTGATTCTGTTGTTTTTGTTTCTGTTGTTTTTGTTTCTGTTGTTTTTGTTTCTATTGTTTTTGTTTCTGTTGTTTTTGTTTCTATTGTTTTTGTTTCTGTTGTTTTTGTTTCTGTTGTTGTTTCTGTTGCTTTTGTTTCTGTTGTTTTTGTTTCTGTTGTTTTTGTTTCTGTTGCTTTTGTTTCTATTGTTTTTGATTCTGTTGTTGTTGCTTTTGTTTCTGTTTCTATTGTTTTTGATTCTGTTGTTGTTGTTGTTGTTGTTGTTGTTGTTGTTGTTGTTGTTGTTGCTGCTGCTGCTGTTGTGGTTTGTCGTAGATGTTGTTGATGGTCTTGTTGTTGCTCTAAAAAAGTGAAGTGTGTTCCTCTGGACATTCAAAACAACAAAATTAGAAACGTTTCATGTGAAACTTGTTCAGTCTGAGCAGCGTTCAGCATCATGTCAACAAACTGGTTGATCCACTCTGAGAAGGTGCCATTTAAGAGACTGAGCTGAAAACAGCTCCTCAGACTGAGGAAGTCCTCAGGATGAGAGACGAAACGTTTCTACATTTGTTGTTGTTTTGAATGTCCAGAGGACCAGACTTCACTTTAGATTTTTCTACCTGGATTATTGAGCAGCATCAGGAAGTTGTTGTGACGTCATCAGAATGAACCTTAGTGAGGAGCTCTGTAAACGACATCTAAAGAACACGACGATGAACCTAAAGAGTTAGAAAAACAAACCTGTTGGGATTTAAACTACGTATGAGCAGGATTACAGAATATTTCTAGATTTGGGGCAGACAGATTAAATGTTTCTATCAAAGTTCTTCACAGGAAAAGAAAAGAATCAAAGTGAAGTAAACGACTTCCTGTTTCCTCTTGTGACTCGTTCTGAGTTGTTCATATATCATGTGTCCATGAGTCCCCCGCCCCCCCACCAGACGGTTTATATCTGAACTCCCTGAAGGTTCCGTCTTCTCCAGACGCCTCCGCCCATCAGAGACGCTCCGAGAACCAGGAACCCGTCGTCTTCCCACATAAACCACCAGGACGCCTCAGAGACGTCCCTGGTTTCATTCAGCCGCTATTCCTGCAGGTTGATCTCACAGAGACCGGTTCTAACAGAGACCTGGTTCTAACAGAGACCGGTTCTAACAGAGACCTGGTTCTAACAGAGACCTGGTTCTAACAGAGACCTGGTTCTAACAGAGACCTGGTTCTCACAGAGACTGGTTCTAACAGAGACTGGTTCTAACAGAGACCTGGTTCTAACAGAGACCTGGTTCTCATTGAGACCGGTTCTAACAGAGACCTGGTTCTAACAGAGACCGGTTCTAACAGAGACCTGGTTCTAACAGAGACCTGGTTCTAACAGAG